GCCCAGGGCGTCCTTCTGCAGGTACCGTAGCAGGCCACGGCCCAGGGTGTCCTTCTGCAGGTACCGTAGCTGGCCACAGCCCAGGGCAGGCCCGTGGTGCCATCCAGTATCACCAGGTGTAGGGCTAGATGAGGAGTGGCGTGAAGTTTTCTCATCGAAGCTTTAAAATACATCATTGTTTTGTTCCCAGACAGCAATGAAAAGAAAAAGTTACAGTGTGAATGAATCAGATCCTTGTTAATTTTATTCTCTTTTGTGAGTGTTGGCTACTTCCTGCTACTTCATGGCTCTTCTCTGAGCTGGATCCTGTGGGGAAGTTGTGTGCTTCAGGAGGCTGCCTGTGGCTGCCACTGGCCCTGCTCACCTGTGCGGCGTCTCTCCTCAGGCCGCCATCCAGTCGCAGTTGGACGGGGTGCGCACGGGCCTCAGCCAGCTCCACAATGCCCTGAATGACGTCAAAGACATCCAGCAGTCACTGGCAGACGTCAGCAAGGACTGGAGGCAGAGCATCAACACCATCGAGAGCCTCAAGGACGTCAAGGACGCCGTGGTGCAGCACAGCCAGCTCGCTGCGGCCGTGGAGAACCTCAAGAACATCTTCTCAGGTACCAGGCAGACGCTCAATGCACATGCCCACACTCACACCTATCTCTGCATGACCTGCTGAAAGCTCTGTGTGCCGGGTTCTTTGCAGCCCGAGCTGTAGACCACTAGACAGTAAGGGTGATTCTTGTCTGCTCAGCGTTTTGTTTTGAACGTGGATGGAAGTGGTCGGCGGAGCAGGTCAAGGCTGGGAGGAGGCTTGCAGTGCTGTGTCAGGACAGGCCCAGCAGCGGCTGCCTGGCAGGCACAGTGTTGAGGGAGTCCCGGTCTGAGTGTCGTTCCCTCAGCTGCGATGTGGCTGTTAGACTCTGTATGTGGTAGAATGAAGGTGCTGCAGCCCACGCTTAAAAGGAGCTGTGGGAGAAGCCACCCCGCACTTGCGACAGAGCCAGGAGATCCCAGAGCAGAAGGGATGAGGCGAGCAGTGGTTCCCAGGTGGGAGGAGACGCCTGTGCGCAGGCCAGGGCAGGCCTGGGGCTCAGCGCCATGGGGGAGTGACCCTTTCGGTTTTCTCCCTGACCACCTCAGGTAGAGGGATGCCAAGGGCCCAGTAACCTGTCCCTGGACGGTGCCAGCTGGCCCCGGGTGGTGGCTCCCAGCATTCGTGTTCAGTCTCCATGCACTTACTGTGATGGGAGCTGCTTCCACATCCTCCTCCCTGTCCTCCCCTTGGTGTCCGCTGTGTCAGGGTCAGCAGCATCCTTCAAGTCCCCAACTTAGAAGCCTCAGCATGATCTGGTTCCTTCCCTTCCTTTGTCCCTGTCTCTGGTCTCTTGGCAAGTTTTTCCTGTTCTTCTACCAAACATCTCTGCCCTGATGTCCCCCGCCATCATGTGCCCCAGCTCACACTCCACACTGGCTGGGCTATATCGCCTGTGGTGCTGCTCGGCTCCCGAGGTCACGTGTGAGTTGGCGCAGTTCTCCCCGGCTGCCCACAGCGCACTTGGTAACCCCGTGTCCTGTCTACCCCGCCCCCTTCTGCCTTCCTCGTATGCTTGCAGCTGCAGCATTGCTGAGCACCTTGTCCCATTGCTCTGTGCGTGCCCTTCTTCCAGGCCGTGATCCATAGGGTCACACGTGGGGCTGTGGTCCATGTCTCTCTCTTTTTTTTTTTGTTTTTGAGACAGAGTCTGGCTCTGTCAGCAGGCTAGAGTGCGATGGTGCCATCTCGGCTCACTGCAACCTCCGCCTCCGGTTCAAGTGATTCTCCTGCCTCAGCCTCCCGGGTGGCTGGGACTATGGGCACATGCCACCATGCTCAGCTAATTTTTGTGTTTTTAGCAGAGATAAGGTTTCACCATGCTGGCCGGGATGGTCCCCATCTCATGACCTCATGATCTTCCCACCTCGGTCTCCCAAAGTGCTGTGCTAGGATTACAGACATGAGCCACCGTGCCCGGCCCATGGTCCGTGTCTCTTTGTGCACGCCCACCACGAATGCCACAGTGCTGCCAACTCCAAAAGCAGCTCTTCTTGGTTACTGTGGACAGCCTGGAACTGGAACAAAGTCCTCTTGATGGAGTCCCCTTGGCGATGGTCTCTGGCGCCTTTCTAGTTAATTTCCTCTTATTTCCTGTTGGCTGGCTACATTTCCTTCTGATCTTGTAAAACTAATGCCTAATGACCAAAAAGGTACATTCCTGGGATTAATTTATCCACAGCAGTTGAAAGTAGTTTCCTTTCCTTGATAAACAAAGGCGCCTATGTTGTATGCATGTTTTTTGTTATGGATAAATTTTCATTGGGAAGATGTGGTTTGGTTCCCTTCAGACTTGTCTCATTGCCTATAATTCAGTAATGCTATGTACACAGCTCCCCTCCCCCATTTTTTATTGTGATAAAATGCACACACACAATTTGCCATCTTAACTGTTCTTAAGTGTTGGGTTGGGTACTATTAAGAACATTCGTACTGTTGAGCAGCCGTTGCCACATCTATCTTCAGAACCTCTTCATCTTGCTGACATGAAAATCTACACCCCTTAAACGCTGACCTCACACCCCCCATCCCAGCTCCTGGTCCCCACCGTTCTGCTTTTGTCTCTGTGAATTGGATGACTCTGGAGACCTCATATAAGTGGCCTCACACATTATCTGTCTTTTTGTAACATGCTTATTTCACTCCCTAGTGTCCTCAGGTTCTTCCATGCTGTGGTGTTATAGGATTTCCTTCACTTTTCAGGCTGAATCATTTTCCATTGTATGGATGGACCACATTTTGCTTACCTATTGGTCTGTTGGTGGACACTTGAGTAGCTTCCGTGTTTTAGCTATTGTGAATGATGCTGCAGTGAACCTGTGTGTACAGATAGTTTGCTTTCATTTCTTTCCGGTACATGCACACAAGTGTAATTGCTGGGCTGCATGGTAATTTTATGTTGACGCCTGCAAGCAGCTGCCAGACTGTTTCCTCCAGTGGCTGCACCATTTGACATTTTTCCACCAGTAGTGTGGAAGGCTTCTGATGAGTCTGCATTTTCATTCTTCTAAGTTTTTAAAAATTTCCTTTATGTTTCCTTTTTTGCCTCATTAATCGTTTAAGAGTATGTGGTCTAATTTTCACAAATTTGTGAATTTTACAGTTTTCCTTCTGATACTGATTTCTAACTTCATCTGTTGAGTTTGGATACTTTGTATGATATCTCTCTTTTAAAACTCTGAGTCTTAATTTGAGGCCTAATACATGGTCTGCCCTGAAGAATCGTCCCATGTGCACTTGAGAATAGCATGAATTCTGTTGTTGTTGGGTGTTCTTTCTATGTCTATTCAATCTAGTTGGTTCGTTGCATTGTTCAAGTCCCCTCTTCCTTGTTTAGCTTGTTCTGTCCATGATTGAGAGGGAGATATTGAAGCCTCCAACTATTACGGAACTCTGTGTTTCTCCCTTCCATTCCATCAGTTTTTGCCTCATATGTTTAGATGGTCTGTTAGCAAATGCAGTAATATTTACAATTGTTACATCTTCTTGATGAACCTTCTATTAATAATTATGGCCTTCTTTCTTGCTAGTTTTTAAAATTTAAAGCCTATTTTGTATTTATTAGTATAACCACTCCTGTTCTCTTATGGTTATTATTTATATGAAATATCTTTTTCCACCCTTTTACTTTCAAACCTGTTTGTGTCTTTGGCTCTAATGGCAGTCTCTGGTGAACATGCAGATTGAATCATGTTTTCTCTGTTTTTAAAATCTATTTTGCCCACCTCTTTTGATTGAAGAGTTTAATTGATTTTGGCCACCTCTTTTGGTTGAAGAGTTTAATTAATTTTGCCTACCTCTTTTGATTGAAAAGTTTAATTAATTTTGTCTACGTCTTTTGATTGAAGAGTTTTATTAATTTTGCCTACCTCTTTTGATTCAAGAGTTTACATTAAGTGATTACTGATAAGAAGGGACTTCTGTCATTTTCCTGTTTTCTATATGCCATATAACATTTTTGTCTCTTATTTCTGCATTTCGTTTTTTTGTTCTTTTGATTATTTTAATAGTAAACATTTTAATTCTCTTCTTGTTTCTTTTGTGTATATTCTATAGCTATTTTCTTTGTGCCTACCATAAAGATTACATTTAACATCTAATATTATATCACTTCAATTTGAGTTTATATCAACTTAGCTTCAGTAACATACAAAAACTGTCCATATACGGCTTTGTCTCCACTCCCTTTGGGTTGTTTATTTCACAAAATTACATCTTTATACATTGTGTGTCCAGAAACATAGATTAATAATTGTTTTATTAATGCATTAGTTTTTAAGAATTATGTAGAAAGCAATGTGGAGTTAGACTCCATAGTGACAGTATTACCAGCGTTTAGACTACTTTTTAATATATTAGCTTCTTTTTTATTTGCCCCTTTTAACCAGAAAAATATTAGTCTCTTAAGTCACGTAGAACACAGAGAGATGAGTTAAAAACTGAAGTTTTAATAATACTAGGTTTTATGATTGTCCATGGATTTACCTTTAGTGAGACCTTTACTTCTTCACATGGCTTTGACTTGCTCTCTAGAACTCTTTCTTTTCAACCAGTGGGTCTCATTTAAGCATTTCTTGCAGGGCAGATCTTGTGGTAACAAGCTTTTCAGCTTTTGTTTATTTGGGAATGTCGCTCTTAATATCGCTCTCACTTTTGAATGACAGTTTTGCTAGATGTAAGGTTCTTGGTTGACAGTATTTTTCTTTTAGTACTTTAAATATGTCATCCCTCTGCCTCTAGCCTCCAGAGTTTCTGGTGAGAAGTCTGATCTGCTCCAAATCTTATTTAGTAGCCCTTGTTTCTGATAAGCTGCTCCTTTCCAAATTCTTTCAAGAGTTTGATTATGTTGTATCTTACTGCGGATCTCTTTGAGTTCCTCTTGCTTGGAGGTCATTGAGCTTCTTGGATCTTCATATTCATGTCTTTCATCAAATGTGAGGAGTTTTCAGCTATTATTTCTTCAAATAATGTGTTGCCCATTTATCTCTTCTCTTTCTAAAAGTCCCACTAAGCATATGTCGGCCTGTTTCATGGTGTCCACAAGGTCCCTGAGGCTGTGTTCACTTGCCTTCAATCTTTTCTCTTTCTGTTCCTGATACTTGATATTTCCCATTGTCCTGTCTTCACATTCACTGATTCGTTCTTGCACTGTGCAAATCTGCCTTTGAATCCCTCTAGTGAATTTTTCATTTCATTTATTGTACCTTTCTGTTCATATTTTCTTTTTGATTTCTTTTTGGATTTTCTGTCTCATTATTGGTATTTCCATTTTGTTCATACATGTTTCTTTCTTCACATCTTTTAGTTCCTTAAGCATCTTTAAATAGTTGTTTTAAAGTCTTTGTCTAGTAGATCTGCCATCAGATCTTTTACAGGGACAGTTTCTTATGTTTTCCTTTGAATGGGCTATACTTTCTTCTTTTCTTGTGTGTCTTTTGATTTTTTTATTTCTGAAAAATGGACACTTGAATCAAATAACATGATAACTCTGGAAATCAGATTCTTTCCCCTCCCCAGGTTATGCTGATTTTTGTTTCTTAGTTGTTGTAGGCTCTCTGTGCCAAGGCTTGGCCTGAGGTGTAAACTTAAAGGTCATCTCAAGTCTTTTCTGAGCCGGTGCCTTTGCCTGGGCATGCATTGGTCACTTCCTAATTTTTCCTGTATATGCAGTTACTTTTGAATGTCTTTATTCATGAAGATCTGGCTTTCAAAAAGGGGGAAAAGTGAAGGGGGTGGTGAAGACCTTGACCCTTTAAGTTCCCTGGAACTGCGTGGGGAGAGAGGAGGGGCCTATGAACAGCTCACCTCTTTGCAGCTCTGTGAGGTGGTGGTTGGTGGTGGTGGTAGTGGTGGAAGGTGGTGGTGGTTGGTGGTGAGTGGTGGTGATTGTTTATGTTGCCATGTTGTGCCTTTTCTCTGCTGTTTTCCCAGAATGATGCATGCAGGCAGCCTGTTATGTGCTGGTGGTTAGTGGTTGATGGTTGGTGGTGGTGGTAGTGGTGGTTGTTGGTGGTTGTTGGTGGTAGTGAAGGCTGGTGGTTGTTGGCGGTGGGTGGTTGTTGGTGGTGATGGTTGTAGGTTGGTTGGTTGTTGGTTGTGGTGGTGATTGGTGGTGGTGGTTGATAGTGGTTGTGGGTGGTGGGTAGTGGTGCTAGTTGTTGGTTGTTGGTTGTTGGTGGTGATGGTGGTGATTGGTGGTGGGTGGTGGTGGTGCTGGTAGGTGGTCATGCTGGTGGTGGTGATTTTTTATGTTTCTATCTTGTGCCTTTTCTCTGCTGTCTCCCCAGAATGCTGCATGCAGGCAGCCTGTTATGTGGTGGTGGTGGTTGGTGGTGGTGGTTGGCAGATGGTTGTTTATGTTGCCGTCTTGTGCCTTTCCCCTAGTGCCTGAGATTGTGAGGGAGACCCAGGACCTAATTGAACAAGGGGCTCTCCTGCAAGCCCACCGGAAGCTGATGGACCTGGAATGTTCCCGGGATGGGCTGATGTACGAGCAGTACCGCATGGACAGTGGGAACACACGTGACATGACCCTCATCCACGGCTACTTCGGCAGTACGCAGGGGCTGTCTGATGAGCTGGCTAAGCAGCTGTGGATGGTGCTGCAGAGGTCACTGGTCACTGTCCGCCGTGACCCCACCTTGCTGGTCTCGGTTGTCAGGATCATTGAAAGGGAAGAAAAAATCGACAGGCGTATACTTGACCGGAAAAAGCAAACTGGCTTTGTTCCTCCTGGGAGGCCCAAGAATTGGAAGGAGAAAATGTTCGCCATCTTGGAGAGAACTGTGACCACCAGAATTGAGGGCACACAGGCAGACACCAGGGAGTCTGACAAGATGTGGCTCGTCCGCCACCTGGAGATTATAAGGAAGTACGTCCTGGATGACCTCATTGTCGCCAAAAACCTGATGGTTCAGTGCTTTCCTCCTCACTATGAGATCTTCAAAAACCTCCTGAGCATGTACCACCAAGCCCTGAGCACACGGATGCAGGAGCTGGCGTCGGAAGACCTGGAAGCCAATGAGATTGTGAGCCTCTTGACGTGGGTCCTAAACACCTACACAAGGTAAGCCACCCTGGCACCTATACTGGCTTTTAGGTGGAAGCTGTGTGTGAGAGGGGTCAGCAGTCGCTTGCCGGAGAGCCAACCATGGGCTTTGCTCTGTGCAGGTGCTCAATGCCCATGGCCTCAGTTTTGGCCCAGGAGAGTCTTCTTTGTGGTCCGTGTGCTGGCGCCCAGCCTCTGGTGTGTGAGCGCTGTTGTTTTTGGGTGGCGTCCCTGCTCTTGGCCTGCAGTCCCGAGGAACTTGACAGGGTGCAGTTCCGGGTGGGCGTGTTTCCTGTGCTCCCCGTGTGCTGACTTGCTTCCTCACGGTGACGCCCTGAGGTGCCTGTGTTGCTACCCGTTTTACAGGTGACGACACGTAGTCCCAGGCAGGGCTGGGACTGGCACATGGCCACCCAGCTGGAGAGGAGACCACCACATCACCCTGCCACCCGCCCGGGTTCCAGCAACCAGGGTTTGGTTTCTTTTCACGAGTGTGCTCTAGCAGTTAATCTTCCAAAAATAAACAGTTACAAGTCTAGATAGTTCTAGAAAACTCCATCCTCCATTTTATATCGTAGCACTAGACTTTGTCACTTCACTAAGGGAACATGAACCACTTTGTGCACAGATTAATTTGAAGCGGTGTTTAAAAATGGTGCAGTGGTGGGGTTATTCCAAAAGTCTTTAGGATTAGGTAGCTGAAATGAAAATTTAATTTTCCAACATGGATGGAAAATAATATTAAATAATGTTTTGGAATTTCTTCCCTTTTTTTCTTGCCCATCTTGTGGCACCATGCAGAAATTAAATAAACCTCTTTTTTTTTTTTTTTTTTTTTTTTTAGCAGTAAGGTGTATTTTTGTGTGTTTTGTGTGTTTACTGGTAGCTGTTTGTTATAGAGAATTTGCATTTCCGTACAGAAGCACAGAAGAGAAAGGAAGCCCTGCAGAGAATGGTCACCAGGGCTCTTTGTGCACAGCCCTGGGCTCACCTCCCCCCACGACCGCTAATCCTCGTGGCTGCCGTGTCTGGCGTGTGTCAGCAGCGCCAGGAGGCAGGAGGCAGGGGATACAGAATGTGCCCAGGTCACATGGCAAACGAGTGGGAAGCTGGATTCCAGTCCCGTCCCTGTGCCCTTGCCAGGCTGTGGCCACTAGACCGGGCTGTGCGTGTGTGCACCTTGCACAGATTGTGTCTTGATTTTGTCTTTCCACGTTGTGTTTTTCTATCCTCAGGGATTCTCTGACAGCTTCATGCTGGGCTCGTGAGTTCTGTTGCCCCAGCCTTCTCAGCCGAGGTTGAAGTGTTCACTAAAAACATTCACACGTGGAATTGAGGTTCTTGGGCAATAATCCAGATTACATAAAAGTCTTTTAAAATGCAGAATTTCAGGAAGCACTTTTTCACTCAGGAAGATCTCAGATTTCTTATAGATAGTGTAATGGCCCTTAACCTAAGACAGGGCCAACTGAGGCTGCTTGGTGTCCCATTGGGTACCCCAGAAAAATAGGTGAAAAATACAGAGGAGGCTCTGACAGCCTTCCTGTCCTCTCCTTTAATTCAGTGTTATTCTGAGAATGTATTTAGGGAACATAGCATGAGGCATGTGAATTTTCTGAGTGGTCAAACCTTGGACTTAAAACTTTTTAATTTTAATTTTTGTGGGTACATAGTACGTGTATCAAACTGTAGACTTTAAAGAACCCAACCTCATACACAGGTACTAGCTTTTTAATGAAAACGTTTCCTGAAATGTAGCGCTATTTCCTGCCACCTGGACAGCAGACGGGACGTAGTTTTGCCTGTTCTTGTCGACGCGTTTTTATCAGTAACGTCCTATATTCTGCGTTCCATCACCATCCTCTGCAGAGCATGGTGATGCTGACTGCAGTGGCTTGTTTCCAAATTACAGCACACCTGCCCTCCACACTCAAGGGGGATGGATTCTAGGACCCCCCGTGGCTACCGGAATCCTCTGAAGCTCAAGTCCCTTTGATACAAGAAAGGGTGTAGTGTTTGCATGTAACCTGGCACTGTCTCCTCCATGCTTTAAATCATTTCTAGATTACTTAGAAAACTGAATACAATGTAAATGCTGTGAAAATAGTTGTTGTACTATAATTTTTGAAATTTTTATTATTTTTTATTGTTGCTTTTCCTGAATATTTTCTGTCTGTGGTTGTTTGAGTCCGTGGACGTGGCACCCATGGCTGTGGAGGCCGGCTGTGCTAGTCGTTGTTTTGACTGAGCACATTTGTTTATTCAGCGCCTCCTGTTTGCCAGGCCCTGCCTTGGCTCTGGAGGCACGGTGAGCAGAACACACGTCTTCCCCACGGGGAGCGCTCTAACGCATTTGAACCCCAGCACCTTGTGAAGCTGGCGCAGCAGGGTGAGGCTGGGGTTGGAGGGCCTCACGTGGTCTCGGAGCTGGGAGGTGATGCCACAGAGGCCCCAAAGCCCTCGGCCCCTGCCCTGCACTTTCCCCTGAGCCATGGACCAGCTGTGACCAAGAGGTCTCCAGGGTGGGTGGCAGGTGGACATTCGTGGGTCAAGAGAAACCGCTTCCACACACTTGGGCATGCTCTGCTGTGTCCGTCGTGGTTTGCCACTCACGTTCCTGGTTCTGCTGTAGCACGGAGATGATGAGGAATGTGGAGCTGGCCCCGGAAGTGGATGTCGGCACCCTGGAGCCTTTGCTTTCTTCACACGTGGTCTCTGAGCTGCTTGACACCTACATGTCCACGCTCACTGTGAGTAGGGCTGGCCTGCACGCCACAGGCCACCGTGCTGGTTATATGAGTAAATGGGCCTGGCAGCAGGCGGCGGGCAGGGTGAGAAATGCCTTAGCCTGGACTTCCTAGGGTGCGTTGCTCAGCTGCTCCGTTTGCTAGTGGAGGAGAGTGTCCTTCTCTGGGCCTGGATCGGAAGCTTGTTCCTGCTGAAGGCATGAGCCTGTGCTATCCTCTGCAGGCCGGCCAGGGCCCGGGACGTCTGAACCGTGTGTGGTGGCACCTGCCAGGCTTTTGGCTCTGAGTCCCAGGGTCGGGGGGTCAGTCAAGGACCAAAGGGCAAGTCCGGTTGAGAGGAGGAGGTCAGCAGGGTCTGCCTCTTAGACAGGGGTGGGTCCACACAGCAAAGCAGCATTGTACCAGAATGCCGAGGTGTCCTCAGGAGCTGGGGAGGGAGCCCTGCCTTCTCCTGGGACGTGAGCTGCTGAGGTTGCTGAGTTTGGGAACAGGGAACAAGCCTGACCCGACTGACTGGACCTGGTCAGCCTGATTCTCTGTGCACTTGGGACTCAACAGCCTTGTCCTCCAGCATTAGTTGTGGCCATAGAGTGTCTAGTTTCTTCCCCCTCTTTATCTGTACCAAGAGTTGCAGTTAAATCTGGGCAAGCTGCTGTGGGCATTGCCTTCCATGGGGGTGGCTCATGGGTCCCAGCTCTGGAGTCCTCGTTTGTGAATGAGGACTCTGGTGCCCTGTGTATGGTTTGTGTAGCTGTGCAGGCAGCCAAGCAGGTGATTGGCATGACCCACAGGTGCCTGCTTTCCCCTCCTCTCCCCTCTTCTCCGTGATGCCCAACTTCCTTTAGTCAAACATCATCGCCTGGCTGCGGAAAGCGCTGGAGACAGACAAGAAAGACTGGGTGAAAGAGACGGAGCCAGAAGCTGACCAGGACGGGTACTACCAGACCACACTCCCTGCCATTGTCTTCCAGGTACCACCGCAGGGGTTGGCACAGTTCCATTTCCTAGGTGGATAGTGGGACCGTAGGTTTTACAAAATGATCTTCATCCACAGAATGTGGGAAACATATCGAGAGCCCTGCCTGGTGCATCTAGGTTGTCTCCTGTCTTGGTCTCATTCCTTCTGGAGCTGCAGAAACCTGGGATCATACTTACCAAATAGGTTTGCCCAAGGCCACTTTACTTTTCTGACCTAGACTTTATGGGTTTGGACTAGAGCCTAATCATATGGTATTTATGTGCGACTTTCAAATGAGTTTGGTTGATGTCCAGGATTTGTCATAAAAATGGCACATTATTGAGTCTAATCAGGTGGATTTGGGGAGCGTCCATTAGCTTCTTTTTTTTTTTTTTTTTTTTTTTTTTTGAGACTGAGTCTCACTCCATTGCCCAGGCTGAAGTGCACTAGCACAATCTCAGCTCACTGCA